CAGTCACAATTGTGGGCAAATTTTGCATTACCGTTTTTAGATCACAAACCTTCTCGGCTGATGGGGGCCGGGCGCCAGGATGAAGCGGGCGGGCGGGCTTCAAAACAGGCGAACGGGCGGACCTTCTCGGGCGGGTTGGGCGGGCGACTTCCGTCGGACGAGTGGGGCGGGAAGATCCTGACGGCCGGATCGGGCGAGCGGAGCATTGCAGCGAACCTCGTAAATTGTGAAGACGTCGCGGGCGAAAACACGACGCCAATTCCGACGTAAATTGCGGGAAATCTCTTATGAGAGATAGAGTGCGAGCTCTGGCCGGCACCACCACAGCGGCTGTGTAAATTGTGAAGAACTCTCAAGCGGGAGCCGCTCTTGCTGTAGCCAGGGGCCGAGGGGGCAGTTCGAACACCAAGACTTTCCCTGACATGGTATGAGCGGCGGGGCGGGGGTCGGGTGGGAGGGACATTCAACTGAAAAAGCACAGCGGGCACCAGTGGGGGGCACCAACGACAATCATTCTTCTAGAATGCAGCCAGAAAGCTCGCGTCCTGCTTTCCCCACGACGCGGAGAACTCTGGCCTTGCGGCGGCCCTCTCTGGGACTTGGTGGCCAGGCTGGGCGCTCCTCCGCCACGGCAAGCCCGGCCGCGGCCAGGGCCACTGCGAGAACGAGGGCCGCCGTGTGCGCCATGGCCGCTTGTCGCAGGAGGGGCGCCCGTCTCGGGGCGGACGGAAGGGGCCGACAGCAGGGGCGGGGTAGCGAATCCGCTTCGGCCACACGCAAGGGGGGCCCGAGGCAAGAGTGACCCATGGCGAGCGGCTTGCCAGACGCAGAGGGTCGGGGGGTAGCGAAGTGACCTCTGCGACAATCGCCGCATGCGGATGCGACAGCAGCGGCCTGCGCGTCCTTGGGTTTCCCCCCCCCCACCCGCGCGCCCCGAAGACCGCCCACCAAAGATCACTCCGGCGAAGGGTCACTCGTACGTGCAGCTGGCGGCGGCATGCCGCTGGCTCTTCTGGCGGTTCCCGTTGCCATGGGGCGGCGGTGCGTCGAAGGCAGGCGCCTGGCGTCGGGGCCGAAACCGGCTGAATGCTGCAGCTCTCGCAGCCCGCCCCTTTCATCCGCCCCCCCTCCCCCTCGTCCGACCCGACCGTCCTAGTCCCTCCCGATGGTCCGACCCAGAACGGCTGGAGGCTGGCATACGCAGTGGAGCGATCTTGAATTTTGAGGGGTGGTTGAAAAAGCCGCGAAACCCGCAGACCTGCCCGACAGTCGCTGCAAACTCCCCACTGGAAAACCTGTCTCCATTGCTTCCGCACCTTGATATTCCTGCCCCTTCCACGAGGTGGCTGGACATTCTGTCCCCCACAGGCGAGATTGAGAACGAGTATTTGTTCCGAAATGGCGGTGAAGATGACGGCGATGACGACGGTGGCGATTATGGCGGCTCGCAGGATGGTAATCAGTAGATGCTACGATTGCCATGATAGGGGCCATGATCATGGCCATGGTCACGAGTGCGACCATGATCTATCAAGACGACGGGGGTGTCGGCTTCTTCGCGGAGCCTATCGCACGTCACGGCGATGTGCGCATCGTGGATGAAACCAACCGTTGCCAAGGGTTTGAACTGTTTCTTGGGCGCCTCTGCTTCCGAGAGGATGCGCTCGGGACACGTACATCGTACATGTGTTCGCGGTCGTGCCCATATGATGGCTTTCACCGCCACGGCATTGGCACGCAACGGGCACCCACCGCAAACTGAAGTAGCACAAAACCGGAAATGTGTACGAAAGTCGCGAAGCGAATCCACCTGTGCCCAGAAACTGCGCCAGACCACGCCGGCCATCTTCGTGCTTCGGCGTCGCACAACGGGCCTATCAATTATCCCCCCCCGCCGAAACCGGGGACGCGCCGACCCGAAGGCTGTCAGATGATGGCGGCGCTCGCTGGCTATTATAAAGGGAAATTAGGACACACAAATAAATACACACAAATACAAATAGTCCCCATATTTTCTCATATTTTCTGGTTTTTTGTCTTCCCCCCCAATTCCCATATTTTCCCATATTTTCCTGGGAATCGAGGATTAATTGTGTCTGTGTGTTTTTTTCCCTCCTGATATTATTAGCATCGGCACCAAGTGTGGGTGAGACCTCACACCCGTCTCCTGCCCAGTCGCGAGCCTATCGTAGACCAGGGCGGGCGGAGGGAGGCGAGGGGAGCTCGACTCCTCATGGCTCCCAGACGGCGGCTTGACAGGGGGGGTCGGAGGGGACGGGCTGGCCCCCGCTGTGGCGCTGCTCCCCAGTCACGTGCGCCCCTGGCAGAGGGGCGCCGCAGAAGGCTGAGACTGGAGAGGAGAAGAAGAAGAAGAAGAAGAAGAAACAAAAAAACGTAGACATAAACTTTTGGAGCTCCGCGTGGATCTCTTGGATCGGCGCTGGGCCCCCCTCCCTGGCGCGCGGAGCGCGCCAGGGGCGGCGCCGGAGGCGCCGCAGGGGGCCCCAGGCGCGGATCTAAGAAATCCGCGCGCAGCGCCAAAAGTTTATGTCTACGAGTTTTCTAAAGGGGCGCTGGGACACACAAATAAATAGACCCAAATAGAGCAGGACTCCCCATATGTGTCAGTCTTTTCTGCGTGTTTGTCACTTCCCAAGTGTTCCCGTATTTTCAAGGGGGATCGACGATTCCTGGAGTCTGTGTGTTTCCTGTCCTAGGAAGGCACCAACTATACACCAACACCGATCCTGGCCAGGATCACCCTGGGCCCAGGATCGGTGTATACGCCCTCCTGCCTTGGGCAAGAAGGCATATACACCGATCATGGGCCCAGGGTGATCCTGGGCCAGGATCGGTGTTGGTGTATAGTTGGTGCCCTCCGATGTCCCTCCTGACTTTTTTCAGGACGGGCACGGGCACGGCGCCTCTCGCCCGGGCCAGGGAGCGGGGAGCGGGAGGGCCCGGGGGACGGGGCCCCGCGAGGGCCTCGGGGCCTCGGCCGAGCTCTGCGCGCCAGGCCCCCGAACGCGGAACACGGCATCCCCCAAGCACGTCGGGTGCTCGTGGACGAGGGGGCCCTGGGACACACGAAGAAACATACACAAATGACACGACTCCCAGTATTTTCCAATGTTTTCTGGGTTTTTGTCTTCCCCCCTGCTTCCCATTTTTCCCCATATTTTCTGGGGAATCGACGGTTCATTGTGTCCGTGTGTTTTTGTTGCCCGCCTAAGTTGACGAGGGGGCAGTGCAGCGCGGCGTGGAGAAGCGCTCGCCTCTCGAGCACCTCTGTGGCCAGCGATGACTGCTTGGGGGCCGTTCGGGGCCCTCTTCGGGCCTCTTTCGATCCTCGCTTCCCCCGCGTTTCTGGCGACCGCCCGAGCAGAAGCCGACCAACGTTGCGGCCAGCGCCGATCTGCTTCTCTCCCCCGTGCTCCCATACGGGAGGTGCGACGCCACGCCAAGAAGCTCTGGGCGCCGAGGCGGTGGCCGCAGAGGGCCCAGGCAACCAGTGGGAGCCGCACGGATATACGCTGAGGTATACGAGCACTCGCCCAAAGCATAGTGCACACATATTGTTAGCGCTCGCGAACCTGTCTCCAAGAGGTGTCCACCACACAGTCACCCCGTAGAGTAAGAACGCACGATGAGGATGCAAGGGCCTTGGAGGGCCATGTCGACACCTTTCGAGCGGGGCGCGGCCAGTGAAAGCGGCCAAGGATGGGCCGAAGGGGAAGGATGCAAGGGTAGCCTTGGAAAGTCGCTCATCCTTACTATGCGGATTGACTGTACTTTGCGCGGTGACGATTGCAGGCGCACTTTCATGGTCTCGTTCCTGTCCCTGATCGAGCGTCACGATCTTTTCGTGGCGTGGGTCCCCAGACCTCTTCGGCCAGCGCCTGCGGGCCTGTACAACAAAGCCCTCTGGCGGGGCCCGGCAAGAACCGGCTGGAGGCCGCGATGACAGCGAGCGGCCAGAAGCTGGAAGCAAAGAGAAAAGTCACACCCGCACCAATCCGACATCCCGCAGAGCTCACACTGGGAACCACCTCGTCGTCCTCCTGCCAATCCTCCTCCTTTTCTCCTCCTCCTCCTCCTCCTCCTCCTCCTCCTCCACCCCATACCCTTGACATAGGCAGGGAGCGATAGAACGAGAGAGAGAGAGAGAGGGAGTGAGAGACCAAGACCTCCAACATATCATATAAACAATGCGGAATCCTGGTCGTATCAATTTCCAGCTTCTGGGGGCCCTCGCCAAGTCTCGTGACCGTCAAAACCGGCTCAGGATGAAGAGTCGGCCTGGGAAAAAGGTCGGGACTTCTGGTGACCCCGTAGCAAACAACAGCACATCGGATTTCTGGAAGAGCGGCCAACGCAGCACCGCTATACAGCCTGAGCGGCAAAGATGCAGAGGGACTGCCTCAGGGGGAGAAAACGACACGGAATCGGCGATACTGAAGGGGCCCCAGGGCACACACATAAATACACACAAATAAAAACATTCCCCATATGTTCCTATATTTTCTAGGTTTCTGTCTTCCCCCCCACTTCCCATATTTTCCCATATTTTCTGGGGAATCGAAGATGAATTGTGTCTGTGTGTTTTTTCCTCTCCTGAGATGCGTCGCCGATAGGTGGATCCGCGACAGGCCCCGGACAGCGAGCCCGCACGGCCCTGGGCAGGTTTTGGGGCTCTCCGCCCCCTGTCGGCGGTCAGTGGGCGAAAGGGGGTCGCTGCGTCCCCCCCCGGAGCCTGCCCCCCCCCCCCGGACGTTGCCTCTGTGAAGGGGCCCCAGGACACACAAATAAATACACACAAATCAAAAGATTCCCCACATTTTCTTATATTTTCTGGGTCTTTGTCTTCCCCCCCACTTCCCATATCTTCCCATATTCTCGAAGGAATCGAGGATTAACTGTGTCTGTGTGTTTCTTTCCCTCCTGACTCTGATCGCCGCAGCTCCGGCCCGAGAGCGTACCTGGACCCACCCCCCTCCCGCCGGTGCAGCGCGCTGCCGTGCAGCCCGGGCTCGACGTCGAGGCTCTTCGCGGCCCCCCGCCGCGGCCGCGAGGCTCTCCGCGACTTGTGCCGAGCGCCGGCCGCGTGTGCCTTCGCGGGGTGGCTCTAAGCTTAAGTCGGGCCTGTCCTCCTGCAGGGTGATTGTGGACGAAAAATGAAAAAATGCACAGAAAAGACTACAAAAATGCTCCAAAATTGTAGAAAAAACGTCCCCAAGCTATTTTTAACTACTTTTGAATCTGCCTCCTGTCGAGGGACAGGCCCGACCCAACTCTAAGCTTGCTGGCTGCGTATCCATATCCACCGCCTGGGGAGCCGAAGTCCTGGGACCCCAACGGGCGGTGGACATAGAGATATATTTGGGCCCCAGGGGGCCTGAATGTATCCATGCCGCCTGCCAGGGTCCCCGAAGATCGAACTCCCAGGCGGTGGTTCTGGATAAAACCCAGCCTCGGACAAGCGAACCGCCCCTCCCCCAGCCCTGCTGATACCGCAACCTGCAAACGCTCGTGCCGACGAATGCCCAAGCCGTGGGCTTCCAAACATCCGCCACCGTGCCTTCAGCAATGAAGGGAGAGCACTGAGGCGCATGCAACTGTGAGACGCTGAGAGATTGTGGGGTCTGAAGGGCCCCGAGCGTTCAAGGCGGTCCCAGAGAGCGCCCAGACGAATCACAAGGGCAGAGAGACCACCCACGATGAGCTCAAGACGGCCTCGGAGGTACCCAACATGCCCCAAGAAGGCTCCAAGAGGCTCCAAGCGGCCGCCCATAGGGGGTCCCAAGGTAGCAAAATCATCGACGACCATATTCTTTCGTTTATTGTCCGAGTTTAGCGCTCTCGCCTGCTCAGGTTTGTGACGCTCCAAGACGGCCCAAGAGGCCACCAAGACCGTCCCAAGACGGGGCTCCCAAGACGGGGGTCTCAAGAAGGCCTCAATACGGACCGAAGAAGCTGAACACGCAATGACATTTCGAGCGCCCCACCTCAGGATGGCACGCGAGACCGTGAGCAGGCCCCCAGGAGGTCCCGAGGGCGGCCTCCAAGGAGCCCCCAAGGAGTCCCCTGGCCCCAGAGGCCCAGAGGCCCACAAAGGCCCGCAAGAGACCCGCGAGTGGCATCCACGACCTAGTCACGTCGGCGGGATTGGCGGAAGGCCCCCAGGTCCGCCGCCCCCTGTTGTAGGGCGACGCAATCTGTACATATCCACTGCTCCCTGGCCAGGCCCATCCTGAACACAGCAGCCGTGTATACGCCACGCCCCCCTGGTTTGGCCAGGAGGGCGTATACACAGCTCCTGGGTTCAGGATGGGCCTGGCCAGGGAGCAGTGGATATGTATAGATTTCGTCCCCCGATGTTGGCTTGCCACGGGAGTGCACGGCCTGCCCAACTTCAGGCTCGCTGGATACCGTTTAGAGAAGGTTCCCAAGGGGGCCTTCGGCCCCACCCGCCGGCCACCCGGAAAGCGCCGTCAGACCTGGTCGGCAAGGATTTTCGTCCGCTCCATGGCTCCTCCTCTCTCCTTCCTCCCTCCCTCCCCCCGCGTCGTCTTTTGATTACCCGGAAGGGGTTCTTGACGTGGGATGTTTATCGTGTGTTTTGGGGGTGGATGCGTGAAAGCCTGACGGGGTTGCTTCGACATGCCTTGCTGATGGAACGTTCTCGTGTTTCGCACGGCTCCTCATTGTTTTAGCTTTTTGCCAATGCACCTTAGATGTGCACAGCTTCACTCTCTCTCTCTCTCTGTTTCTCCAGATGGCTCCAAGATGGCGCCCAACACGGCCAAGACCGCCTCCAAGACGGTTGGGATGGTCCCAAGAGGGCCCAAGATACCCAGCCGCCCCCCTGTGACTTGCCACAAGGGGAGCACGGCGTGACAGATCTTAGGCTGCTGCCGGTGATCGAGAACTTCCAAGGGGCTTCAACCCAGCCCGTGGGCCACCCGGCAAGCCGACGAGATATAGTATCGTATCTCGTCGGCCCTGCCGCGCAGGACGGCACCCAGAGGGTCTCCAAGACGGCCGGGAGGGTCCCCAAAGTGGTTCGCATGACCCCAGGAGATCCCAATATGGCCCCAAGATGTCTCCAAGACTAGCCGAGACGCCCCAGAGATGGTCGCAAGATCGCCCAAGTCGGCCCAAGAGGAGTGCAAGGCGGTCTAAGAGGCCTCCAAGAGGTCCTCCAGAAAGACCCGAAGAGACCAAGCACTTTTGAAGGATTTTGCGAATGATGTTGGATGTTTGATGGGTCCGGGGGAAGGCCCAAAGAGGTAAAACAAATTGATTGTCCTTGGATATGCGAAGGACGTTAGTGCTTGCTCACCAAGACGGACCCAGTGGCCACCAAAATGGCCCCGAGAGGCCTCCGAGATGCCCCTCTGACGGCCCAAGAAGCCACCAAGGCGGCCCGAAGACGACCCAGCGTACCTCCAAGTCGCCCAAAAAAGGCCTCCCAAACGGCCCGATGCGCAACAAGAGGACCCCCACGTCGGCCCAGCGAGGCCCCCGGGCCTTCGGCCCAACCAGCCGGCCACCTGGAGAGCTCTGCCAGACCCACTCGGCAAGGATGCTTCCGCTCCAGATGGCTCCAAGATGGCCTTCGAGACGGCTAAGATGGCCCCAAGACGGCCCAAGATGGTCCCAATATGGTCCTTAGACGACACAAGGGACCCCCAAAAGGCCTCTAAGGCAACCCAAAAGAAGGCCTCCAGGATGACCTCCAATATGGACATCCAGGATGACAACATCCGTGATGTGCATCCGGTATCTGAGACATTGTGGCGTCTGCTCCTTTTCGGTGCCCGATGGCCCGGGTTGGCCCAAGAGGCACCCGAGATCGCCCCAACGCGGCCCAAGAGGTCCCCAAGAGGGCCCCAAAACGGCCCAAGAGGCCCCTAAGATGGCCCCAGCACGACCCCAGAGACCTCCAAGACGGCCCTACAGTACCCAAAAGAAGGACCCACGACTGTCCAGAGAGGGCCCCAAGGCGGCCGAGATCGACCGTACCAGGGGGGCAACAGTCATGCCGCACGCTTGGTTGTCAGTGGCGTGCACGGCAGCTGCTACAGTGGCAAATTGCTCTGGAGGGTTCGCTGCGGTTCCGTGAACCAGCGTCGCCTTGAGCTTATGGTAGGTGCGAAAGGAGAGCACGCCAAGGCGCATGGCGGCACTGCGAGAGAGCGCGCGCGCTGCGCAGTTGCATTCGTTGTCGGCACCAAGGCCGAGTGTTAAAAGGGGTGAAAGGGGGGAGGGCGAGAAGTGCGCCAAGGACAGGGCGGGCGAGGTAGTGCGCGATAGAGTCGGGCTGCTGACTGCAACCAAAAATTCCATATATAACTCCACTGACGTGCATGCGGTGTGATGTTGTCCACCCCTTGCAAGGGTCTTGAATAGACTCCATTGCCACGCAGGCTTGAATGCGCGGAGCACCGCAAGGCATTCCCCCGCCGCTCGCCCGCCGCCCCACTAATCGAGGCGGAAAGGCCCCACGCAGATAAACGCTTGGCGATAGTGATCTCGAAGCCTGGAGGAAAGAGAGAGGCGCGCAGCGAGGAAGAAAGAAAACGTTGAACCTCTCCTTTGCGGCCTTCACCCGCCGCGCTGACCTGTTCGTCGCGAGCCGCTGCCACCGCCGATCGCCAGGCAGCCACTGGACTGGGATGGGTGAAAAGGGTGGCCCACCGGCCAGCCTGCCAAATCGCCGCAAGAAGCCTTGCTCTATTTTCCAGCAAGGTGTACCCCATTGTCCTCTCGTCCAGCGCGCGAGTGGAACGTGAAGAATCGCCGCTTCAGACCATTCTTGCAGCGGCGATTCCCAACCTCGCAAAGCGCGAAAGCCGCATCCCCACAGGCTCGCCGCATTCATGATAAGCGCGGAAGCAGGGGCCACCAAGCCGCGTGCTCTGAAAGAAAACAAATTGGCCAACCGAAACGAGCTGGGAGGCAAACGGAGGACTTCGTGAAGAGCAATTTTTTCTGCGTGCAAGGCAACGGTTGGCAATGGGCGAAGCTGCGCAAGACTGAGTGTCGAGAGGGCAGTGCTGTCGCACAGAAACCAGCTGACATCCGATGGCGCGGTCGATCATGGAATGTCGCAAGTCCGACTCCACCATTCACGAATGGCCTCTGCCTCAACTCCGCTCTCTGTGGCCGCGGGTCCAAATTGCGCCCCAAGATACTTTGCCTGGCCAGCAATCCTGAAACCGCGCCATTCGGGAATGCTTGACTCTAAAAATGAGCGAATGCGATGGTCAACCTCTGGCGCGACCCCCGCCCAAAGGGGAACAACTACAGCATTGCTGGGTTGGGGCCTCAATGTTGCTAGCTCCTCGGCAAATTCTGAAGACAGGAAAGACGCGCGTTTAATCGGACTGGCAGGGCTGCACAAGCCCCGCATCATTAGCACGCCCCCCGACGACCCCCCGCGGAGACGACGACGACGCCTCCGCCACCAGATGGGTTAACATCGGGCCCATAGCGATGGCCTACACCGAGCCTGAAAGTGGGCAGCCTTGCAGTACGCCCGACCGCTACTGGAACATAACTTGCATTTCGCTCTGAAGCATAGCAAAGCTGCGGGGCCCTAAGTACAACGAGGCAAAAAAAAAAACGCACATCCAGGAGGCGCGCCAAACCGCGAGAGAACCCCCCGCAACCAATCGTGGCCAAGGGATGGAAACGCAGCGGCTATATCGAACGCATCAAAGACAGGCGCCTGAGCTTCGGCTGTCTCGCTGTTGCTAGCCGATTGGGCGGCTGTGTCTAGCTGGAGCAAAGTGCAGAGAAAATTCCCGCCCGGGACGAATCCTTGCTGGACTTGGTGCGAGCGGGCGCGGACCAGTCCTTTGAGCTTCTGATTGGCCGCTGAAGCTGGGGTCTTAGAAGCCGCGTTGCGCAGCAGGAGAGGGCGAATCTGATCAGGGCTACGCAGTCACTCGCAGTCATCGCTAGGCTCACTTCCTTTGGGCAAGTATGCGAAGATGGAGTCATTCAGGGCCTCTGGTGCGTGGTGGCCCGCCATGATGTGCTGCGAGAGGCCACGCAGGACTGCGATCTGCCTCTCCGAGGCCATCCAAGCCTTGTAGGGGAGCC